AAAAACAAAATCTTGAATTCAAATCGAGTGTGTGAATAGCTAATTCGCAATTTAATTAATTTAAATGACTTTAAATGTTGGGGGAATTCAATATAATTTGATTTGAACATTTATATAAAGAACAAAATTACAGTCCCTTATGAGTAATCAAAAGACAGTTAAATGCATGAACAATCGTTCTCGAGTGCTTTAGGTCGTTGAGTTTATTGTGAATGACATTTTCTGTGAAGTTGGTTGTGGTTGTCATTCTCCTTCAGTCGTGTCGTTTTTACGTGCAATCGTTGGTTGTGCCCGATGGTGCGCGGAAAAATTTGGTGAAGTTGGTTTTAATTTGTGAAAAATTCCTATTTTTACATTTTCAAATTGGTGAAGAAGCCGAGAAAAGTCTCACTATTGAATAAATTGCGCGTATTTCCACCATATAAAGATTTTTTATCAAAAAAACTGCATTGAAATTTCAGGATTTGTAGCATTTTTTCGCTTTGTTAAATGACTTGCGCTTGAGAAAGAGGAAAAGAGAAAGCGGCAAACGCATGTCAAGATAATGGCGGCATGACTTGGTACTTTTCAGTTTGTTTAAACGAGAAAGCTAGCTGTTGTGATTCGCGTGAATGTGCACTCAACGTGTGTGTTCGTTAATCGCAAGACAACAAAGGAGCTAAGCGGATACGCAAGATGTTCTGTGCGTTCTGTGTGCTGTGAGTACGTTTTCGTTAAACAGAACGAGCGAAAAGTACTGTTTTTTTTCAGTGCCGTGTGCTGAGCTTTGAAGCGAAAGCGGGACAGACGAACAGTGTAAAAGTGTGCGCATGTTCGATTTTGAAATCTTTTTAATTTGGATTTTGTGAACGGATTTTCCTCACAGTAATCGGAGGAATTGAATTATCTGTCCCCGTTGTTACTCGTTGACTGTTTTGCTTGTTAAAAGTAAAGAGAAGGAGGAATAACATCGACGGTAGGGAGTGTGTGTATGTTTTATGTGAAATAAAAGGAAAGTAAAATATAAAATAAAAACAAATATTCAACAAAAAAGAGTTTGGAAAAAATTATATAGCATAAAATGATTAAAATGGAGACTGACAAAATTATGGACGAGACTAACTCCAATTCGCAAGCAGTAAGTGTGTTTATTTATCTTTTACTTCAAATTTATTAAACATGTTGGTGGCTTACATAAATTGAGAGACCCTGACTATATTAATTCGCATTTATTTATTCGTTATATTGATATAAATAATAATGAATGTATATAGATATGTATGTATAATGAATTTATGCATTACAATTTTCATTAATTTCAGGCATACATATCTACATATTTACGGACATAAATT